AAGAACCCAAATTCTCATCCTAAGTCCGCTTGCCTGACTCACTGCACACCTTCCCTCATCTGCTGTAGATAGGGATCCTACTGCACAGCCCTAGCACATCTCAATAGCATGTCCATGCTGTGAACTGTGTCGAGTTGTATGCAGTATCTTGCTGCTTTAAAACTAAGTGTGGAAAAACTACCAAAAAATGTATTACTGTGGCATCATAACAACGAGCAAAAAAATCACTCAGTGGTGAATCATTTAGCTTCCTTGACTGATCTTATGGTACTCATTCTAATGGAATAGTCAATAATGGCAATGGGTTTTTATCTTCTGAACAAACCCAGCATCAACAAGAATGAGACCCGAGCTTGTCAGACTTGCCTGCTGACAGCAACAAAACGGCAAGACTCAGGCATGTGGACATTCCTGGCACTGGAGAAGAACGGTTCCTAGCAGAGCTTGTCCCTGCTTCCCCTGCTCCCACCATCAGCACAGCCTGCCCAAAGTCTTCCACTTCTCCCACCTCCTACCTCCGATCCCACCTCCTTGCACCCCACTTCCCAGCAACTCTCCAACACTGAGTTCCTCTCCTGGACATATATTTGCAAGGGCACCAGAGCTTTTCCCTCAACCCCATACCCCAGGTGTGACCCCTTATTCCCCAGTCCCGGCCAGCAAATCCCTCAGACAAAATTTTAACCCAGTCTCCAGCCAGCAAATCCTCACCTGACCTCCAAAAGCCATCCTCATATCATTCCCAGTGAGCTTGCCCAGCAAATCCTGTTTTCCAGCTTCCCAAATGCCCTTCAGATCTCACCCTGATTCCACTGTTCTGTCTTCCCCATGCACGAGCCAGCTCTTCGCTGGCTCCCACTGCCAGACTCCTCCCTTAGTCTCCTCAGTCAGCTTCACAGCCCCCAACATCAACCACACTTCCGAGCTCAGCTCATCAGATCTGTCTCTCCTTCTTCTTCCAAGCCTCCCACACAGCCCCACCGCTTCTCGCTCTCAGCTCTGCACTCAGCTCATCCCAGGCTCTGCATTTCAGCTCGAGCTATTTTAATGTCTCCTGAACTATACTGACACATGTTCCTTTCCTTTCCCTCCCACATCGATTTTCACACTACTCATCGAGGCACAGTTTCTTCCTGCTGATTTCATTCTTTGAATCTATTTTGTCAGTGATCCCCCCCAACACTTTTCCCCAAAAAATCTTGCTCATGCTTGCCTTGTTATTTAAAACATGTGGTTTACTCCCCTGTGCCACCTCAGTCCAGCAGAGGTTTCACTGAGAAAATACAAGAGGAATCCCTTTAACCTCATTTTTCAAATGCTTTTTCCAAAGCCTGCAATGTACCTGAAGTTCTTAGAGGAAAGGTCACCAGAACCATTTAAGATGAGAAAAAAGAGCACAGTTTGCAAAAATGCATAAAAAGCTATAAACTATTTTTGCTTAAAGGCTTATAAAAATTACCTTGTGGCAGATATCTAGCATGGAAAATTTCTGCTTAAAAACACTTGAAATTTGACAAAATCCTATGCAGCTACAAACTGTGTTGAAATGAGAAGAGTCAGGGTGCGTATCACCCTTAGCAAAGCCACAAAGTGAATAAAAGCCTCTGTCTCCTCATTTCAGGCACCAGAATCCTCATAGCATCAACTTTTCAGCTGTATGTTAAACTCCCTTGTTCTTAACTGAGGAGAGCTATAGCAATGAAAAATAGACTGCCAAAAAAACCATCTGTAGATTCACTTCATCATGGTGCGATTTCAAAAGCTAAATAATGTCTCAGTTTATTTCTTGAGAGATTGGATGGCAGTATCTAAATATATACCCGAAAAAAAACCCACAACCAAACAACTCTGACAAAGAAATCTCTCTTTGTGGAGATTTGACTGCACTATGAAAATCATGGGAATATGAAAAGCTACTCACAATCCAATTTTACTCACCAATCAGACAACCTCAGTGAAGACTTCCCATTCCTCTGTGCGATGGTAAATTGAAAATAAAGATTCAGACAAAGAAAGATCCATCCAAAAAGACACATTATTTTAATTTTATGCCTAGGTCTGCAAAGGAAATAGGGGACAGATTTTTGTCCTCTCCTTAGCTGGACTTCAAGGCTGGGCAAAGTGCTTCTGCATCTACGCAGATGCTTTCCCGGGAGAGCATATGAAACCCTCACTATACATAGTATTTGTCTTTGTTTTAATTAAATGCCCAGCTAAAAGATTGGAGTGTTTCCCTGTGAATGTTTAGGTGAGCATCTCCAGTTTTACATTACAAAGCAATGTGCTGTGTCTGGCTCTGGGTGTAATGAGCAGCATTTAACCACTCCCTGTGTATGGTCTAGAGGCAGCAGTCAGAGCCTGCCAAGCGCTTCAACAGCAGCCTGCCAAGAGGCTGCCTGCTAAGCAACCAAAAAGGAGGATGGTTAGGAATATGAGGGCAAAGGTAATTTGTTTGAAAGATAATGTATTTTGTTTTTAGATGAGGAACAAGAGGAAAGATCAATACTAACCCAATGGACTCTACATAAGAGGACTCCAGGAAACCCTGGGAACTGGAAGGTAAGTTCTCATGGGAAACACGGCTAAAGCAGAAGGAATTCAGTGAAGCTGGCAGTTCCTTAAAGAAATTATGTTTAGGGTACAAACACAAACAATCCCACACAGTAGGAGGATAGGAAGTATGGTCAGAGATCAACTTGGCTAAGCAACGTGGTCTTCAATGACCTGAAACACAAGAAGGAAATGTACAGAAAGTGGAAACCAGGTCAAACTCCTAAGGACAAGCATGAAAGAATAGTACAAGATGCTCAAACAAAGTCAGAAAGGATAAAGCACAAATTTAACTGAAAAAAGCAATGATCATAAGGGACAGCAAGAAAACAAATCGGTAAGGAAAAGAAAACCCTAGTGATAGCTCACTTGCAATAGGCTGGCGTACATTTTCCATCACTCTTCATAAAGGATGATCTGCAATTCCATGCCTAATAGCTGAACTCAGCAAGAAAAAATCCACCTAAATCGGGAAATAGGTCTGCGAATAATTTGGAAATACTGCAGTTCACCTCATCCTCAAGTATGCCTCTAGAGCACGTCTCCAGAAGAGCTCTCTGTTGGTCATTGACTAAGTCTACTGACTATATGTCATTGGTACTAAGACTCCCTGGGCTGTGACAGGAACCTACACCTCTGCACAAATATAGATGGCTATTTTATAGGCAGCTAAAGTTAGGTGAAATGAGTCCTATCCATAGTGATAGATGAGCCTGTGGAAGTGCACAAGAAGATACTTTGAGAACAGAGTGAAACAAGCTCAGAGCTGTTCGCTTCCTCTGAAAACTCTCGGAAGTTGTGTGAGAAATGTGTGAAGAGGTGAACACCTTTAAAAAGCCAAGAAATGAGGAAGAGACCAATTCTGGAAAAATACTAGAATAAATGAAAAAAAAAATTATTTAGAGAAGGTTAGAGAGAGTTATAAAAGCTAATAGCCAACATGCCAAAAATATAAAGCAATATAATTTCTGTAACAGGGCAACAAGTCTCATAAGTAGAGAAGCAACAGGTCATGAAACATGTTTTAATTTCAGTAGTGTTATTGATATTAACTCAAAACATTTTCAAAAGTGAATTAAAGTGAAACTTCTTCAGGGAGAGTACAAAACTTCCTACGGAAAAAATAATCCACAGACTAAGATTAGCTTTCAATTATTCATTATCAAACTCAAAAAATACAATCAGTGAGATTCTTGCTGGGTCTGTTCTGAGCCAGGTAATGTCCCAAGTCATTAATGTCTTGGATAAAGGAGCAACCCTTCAACCTTGTAGATAACAATAAGCCCAGATGAACAGCAAACACATTGCATGATACATTAAATTCAGAATGCTCTTGACAAATAAGAGAAATTATCTGTAGGAGAAAACACATTGCAATGCAGTTGTGTTTACAAGTATGAGGTTCTGACGCAGAAAAATAGTTTGTAGGGATGCAGGATTGGCAATGACCAATCAGGCAGCAATTCTGCCAAAAAAGGGCTAAGGGAGGTAGGAATCAGTCACAAGCTATACATGAGTGAGTATTGTTATACCATATGTGTACAAGAATGCACACTGCATTTTAGGAAGATAAACTGTTTTGCTTGTACAATACACTAAGGAACACCTCCTATTGTATGTCTGGCTAGCACAGAAACCAGTGGCACTGTGCCCTGTTCAAGCAAAACTGTTCAAAGAGAAGGTAGAACAACTGGAGAGAGTCCAGAGAAGAGCTGCGAAAATGATCAGTTGTCTGGAAAAAAAAAAACAGAAGAAGAAAGACTGAAAGAATTGGCGTTGCTCAGTCTAAAGAAGAGAAGTGTTTTCTCCTACAGATAATTTCTCTTATTTGTCAAGAACACTCTGAATTTAATGTATCATGCAGAAGGGCAAGCTTCAGTAGAGAAGAGTATTTCTCTAGAAGACCCCATTAGGAATCTTCAGGAAAGAGACAGTCACATTTCTGACATTTGGAAAAGCATTGCACAACCATCAAATATTTGGAAGATAGCAGTCCTTTCGCCACAACTCTTTACATCTCCTACAAGAGCTAAAAGGATGTAGAGTAGGAAAAAACCTGGCATCATGCCAGTCTCGGCAGTGGTAAATCCTGTAGTGGCTTCACTAGTTCTGAGTTACTATCCTGAAAAAACAAACTGGCTTTGTATAATTTAGCATGAAAACTTAGATAAATGTCACTTCTCTAGAGAGGTAAGATGAAGCTTCTGAATTATGCAACAGGATGAACCACGGACTTACAGAAAAGGAGACTGGAAAAGACTTCAAGACCTCCTCTTGTGGATTCTGAAGCTCCAAGAGAGACCCTACTGTACCTTGGAAATGAAAAAGTATTTCACTACCTTTACTGTTAATAAGATTTTCTTAATACAGAACATAGACTTCAATGTCATAGTTTAAACCCATCACTTCATATCCACTACAGATTAAAAAAAATATTAATCCCTTCTTACCATTTTACAGGTAATTTATGTAGATGATAATTTTCTTGTGTTCAGCTGACCTTCTCTTCTTTAGACTGAACAATGCCAATTCTTTCAATCTTTCTTCTTTTATTTTTTTCCCAGACAACTGATCGTTTTCTCAGCTCTTCTCTGGACTCTCTCCAGTTGTTCTACCTTCTCTCTGAACAGTTTTGCTTGCACACGGCACAGTGCTTACCTCATGGAGAGTACTACAGGAGTCATAAAACAGAAATACTGTTATCACATATTCACTATCTTATGATTTTTCTCTGGGTAAACTTTTCAGACTTTTTTAGACTTTTCCAAAGCTGAAGGAAAGCTTTGGAAAGTGCTGGGTATTTCATCTCGAATAAGGCTGAGAAGAAAGTTGTTTGCAGGAACAAATAAACTAAAGCATTCATTTATTCTATCAGAGTTTTAAAACTTTATAAAACCAGGAAATAGACTTCAGTCTAGAGGCAATCTGTCTTCCTGCCTGAGCATAGACCTTTCAACTATAACCACATCCATGTAAACCCATCAGTGACTGAGTCCCATTGGCAAATGCCAAAAGCTACGCCCTGCCCCCATCTTCCAATGAAATTAAGTAGAAGATGTAATAAAATGTTTATCGAACTTAAAAATCCCAAGGTCCAAGCTTCAGTACATAAAGCAATAGCTATCACGAGGAAAAAGTCCAAGTCCCCGTAGATAAAAGATGTCAATAATATTTTCAGATGCAAGATAGATTTTGGAATTATTTTATAATATCAATATTCTTATAATGCTGCTAAGAAGAGATGTTAATTTAAACCATTTTAATTATTAGCAACAGTATCTAAAACTTAGCAATAATTACGATAAACCCCAGCTTTCCCACAACTTCTACTCCTCCAAAAAGAAAGGAAACAATAGCAGCATCTGGATTTAGGATACTAATGTAGCTTTGGAAAAGTATATCTGCTTGAGGCCCTGCAATGATGCCCTCTGGAAAGATCCTCACGTTTTAAATTATTGACTCTTCACTGATATTTTTTTTTCACAGATCCTATTCAGCCTAATACAGTAACAGATGTAATACAAAGAAAATATGGCTTTTAATAGCCCTTTGAACAGTTATTTAAGTAACAGGACATGGTATCATGTTGTATCATCATATTTACATCATGTACATAAAGAGATTGTACAAACATGACTAACCACACATATACCCAGCTATGACCCTGGGCTCATTCAGCACTGCAGAATGAAGAAGATGGCAGAAGCACTTTGCAAAGTCACAATTAAATAACAGTTTTAGTGATAACTCTTGCTTCCACAGAACGTAGCGATGCTTAAAAGTATAAAGCATATCTCTGTTCCACATTTACATGCTTAATCAGAAAATCTGCTAATACAGTTGACAAGAATGTCTAACCAGTGAAGCACTCCCAGTATACAGAAAGCCTGAGAGGAAAAAAACCCAAGGTGATCCTTCAGTTCAACTTTCTTTGTTTCACATTTAGAACTGACAGTAGCTTTCAAAAGGCTAAAATTTAAAAAGTATTTAAAAAAATCGTGAAATAGAAACAAAAGCTAGTAATAATCTGTATTCTCAATAAGCCTCATTCTAACACTACAAGAACTGAAATATGAAGGCAGCTTACTACTTCCAAAAGAGCATAGTAGAACTCATCCTACAGGTAAAAGTGCTCAAATCTTTGTTGTGGAAAGATTACCAAAGCAGCTTCAGGTTTTGACACATAAGAATGCAAAAGGAAAGAGTATTCTGGAAACAATCTCAGTAATTAAATGATAGTATAAGAAGGAACTTGTGCACAGTTTTGTATTCTCTGTATGTTTTCATGAATAAGAGCTCTCGCACTAGTATAAAAATAGGTTTACAACATCATATTGGTAGCTAAAAAAATTTCAGAAGTTTGAAAGGGCAAAAATTCTTGTGTCTTAAAAGGATTTTCTAGGGTTTTGCAGCTAAAACTTTTAGATATCAAAGAAGGAATTGACGGCACTAAATAAGATTGTGTCCTAGCTTTTAATCAAAGCAGAGAGAAAAAAAATATAGCAAATATCCCGTGAAGTTTAAAATAGTCTACAAATAACTTCAACATTTCTTCTTCAACTTTAAATCTATTGTTTACAAAATATTTAGCATTTTTAACGAGTTTGTGCATCTCCTTTATACTGATAATTACACACAATATTTTTCAGGTAATAGGAATTAGTCACTGGATATCTAGCTAAAATTTTGTGTATTTATGATTTTCTTTCCACTCAGTTAAGGCAATGAAAAAAACCCAAATCAATAAAACCCCTCAAAGCATTAACAACTGCAAAATTATTTCTGCATCTGAAAAGATCAATTGAAAAGCCAATTGTCATCACTAAACTTCAAGTCAGAACTCTGTATCTTTTAAAACACAGAGACTACAAATGCTTTGTATTTAATAGCAAAACACCTAGAAGAAAAAAAAAATCCTACTAATATTCTAAAAGAAATAGAAAAAAAATAAGACAAAGTACCTCTACAACATTTTCTGCTTCTGGAGCTTCCTGTCTGGATCCAGCTTTGCACAACTTGGTTGCAGTTTGCTTTCTGTTTACTTAATGCCGTAGCTCAAATAAAAAGAAGGTGTATCCTTGAATACTATACGTACAGCACAACCCATTGTTGTCTTTCTTCAACAGGACAGTTTGAATTTTTTTCCTAGCACTATTAGAACCTAGGAAAAAATTGAAGAAAATATTTGGAGTGAGCGACCTTTACCTTCATTTTTAACATCTTTGAATTTAAACATTTTCCTTCATCCATGAACTACCCCTGCACTATGCAACCTGTGAATATCTACTTCAAAAAGTGTCTAATTCAAAGCCCACAGAAGTCTGAGATGTTTCAGACCCTGATGTCAAATACATTGATTTCTACCTGTTCCGGAGTGGCGTGCAATCATTTCACTTCTACCTTGTCCGGGTGCCAAGAGCTGTTTGTTGACCTAAAGACAAACAAAAGCACATATCTGAAATATTCCAAGGGATATATGTGAAAGTGTATGCGTTGGATTCATCCTGAGATTCACATTTATTGAAGGAGAGAGAGAGGTCTAGGAAGGCAGAAAAAGGAATTCAATACCTTAATAATAGACATTTGGAAATCTTTTCCCAATATCTGTCCTTAACACTTTTGCAGCTCACTGATGATATGAAAAAAGCTGTTGAACTCTAACAAATACGTAAATAGAAAATGAGCCTACACGTAGCACCCTGTGTACTGTGACTGCACCTTTGTAATAAGGAGGAAGGGGACTGCATGAGGGAAGCTGAACTTCTCATCCTCACTCCTTACCTGCTGACACTAACAGCAAGTTGAGGTTACAAAAGCTTTAGGTCTGATTCGGGACACGGTAGCTCCCTTAGTTCTGCATCAGCAGCTCTGCCTGGGCTTGTCTTCTAATTCATTTCACACCCTCATTCATAGCTCAAAACTGAGACGCTGCAGTCTGCAACAGAGTGAGGTGTTTATTTTGGGGGATCAAAACCAGACTGCGTCACTAGAGCAGACTGTCTAAAGATGTGTATCAACAGTGCTTACCTACCCAAAGAGAAGGGCAACACCCTAAGAACAAAATCCTCAGCACGGACCTGATGTGGTCTGTTCCTGTAAAGCCTAAAAGTGGTATGATTGCTACAATACAATACAAAAGTGCAAGTGGTTTCTTGATAGAATTGCCGATTTTATACTTTCTGCAGGAATAGCATTATATTAACTAATGTCCATCTAAAAGCAAACAAACAAACAAAAAAAACCCAGAAGAAAAGCCACAAAAGTAAACTGGAATTTGCTCCTCAATATATTTGTTTGTCATCTGTGACTTACTCATCCTCTGATGGATGATAGACAGTTACTGACTATTTTGGCAAATGACAATTTAATAAGCTTTTAAGACAATATTTTCCAGTTAATCTTTGTGCTGTGCACTGTTAGGCAGAGCAACACCTTAGCTAAAACCACCAGCACACCAGTTATACGTTACCTATGCATCTTTGTAAGTTAAACTACCAACCATGACAAAAGTATGACTTATAGGCAATGATCAATCATCAGTTATGACTGTTTTTAAGACAACAATACCTACAGAAGAAACAGAAGATTGCTGTTCTTACCTGCATGTACAGGAGAAAGACAATCCCCACCCCAGAGGCCTGAATTACCAAGGAGTGCTCCTGATAACACAAACTGATCCTTATGGAGGATGCTTATTATTAGGGAGCCTAAGCAGAAGCCTCCAACATATCAGGATAAGTGGCTTTGGTATTAGAGAAATAAGGAGGTTTTTTGCTTCCTTTATCTTACTCTCATGCTTTTGTTAAAAGCATGGGGTAATATATTTATGGTGCAGAAAAAGCATAAGCAGATCACAAAAAGGTGTCTTAACATGCTTATGTTTGCAGATGAGAGAAAGATCAGCAAATCCTGATATTATTACAGAATAGCACAGTGCAAACTTAAGAAAATCTTTTCATCTCAGTCTTTTAAAAAACTTAGTTGCTCTCTCTGGTAGAGGGTTTTTGTTTTTTTATTCTCTTCCATTTCAACCTATGGTGGGAAAAGGAGGAGCATAGAAAAGGGAAAAAGCACTCATATTTTCAATTGTGGTGCCCTGTATTACAACATCCCACGGCTCCTGCAAGGATGGAAAGTCTTTCTTACCATGCACACAATTCATGAAGAATTTAGTTGAAGATTTCCACGACTTAGAAGACTTGACTTATTTACAGAGATATAAAGCATGCAAATATGGATGTATGTTCACAAAGTTCTATTCCTGTTCCTGGAACAACACTGATACATCCGTGATGTGAACCAGGAAGGTATGAGACCTTCTTAGTGAAATGACTGGGAGCTTTAGTTTAGGAAAAACATTCCTAGATCAAATAGGGCAAGATACTTCAGTTATCTGGGCCAGTCTCTTGCAGAACTCAGGTCTGATTTAGTTACTGCTTGAAACGAAATGAGCGGGCTTGGGCTAGAACAAACTTTTCAAAAAAGCACCCAACCTTGATTTAAATGCTTTTAATTATAAGGAATCCATCCTCAGTTCTTCTGTCTTAACTCACCACTGCTTGTGTCTTTCCTAATAAAAAATGTCAGCTTTTTCCCAGCCTGAATTTGCCTAAACCCAGTCACCAGCCCCAGAATCTTTTTAAAAATTTCTCCAGCCAGACTGAACAGGCTTCTGCCATCAAGCTTTGGGCTGCAAAGTGGGACAAAGACAGGAATAAAAAGAAAGCAAGAGCAGCCAGTGACTTTGAAACGTACTCATTGTAAGCACATTTCAGGTATTCTGGTTATTCTTATGACCCTCCCCAATCTTCAATAATGTCCGTAAAGTACAAACAGAAGTACTGGAGCTGGTACCAGGAAAGAGCACACACCAGTAACACAGATAAAAGATTCAGCTTCATTAAGTCAGTGTTTGAAATGCAGTATTTTCCCAGAAAGAAACACATAGAAGCCTAAAGGGCTGGCTTCATGCTCTCGTCATATGATGGCTTGTAGCAGGCATTAGTCACTACTCTCTTTTGTCCTTTATCTTCTAAAACAATCACCTGCAATGTAATACACTGATCTTGATTTGGAAATACCAAATAAATCCTAGTTTTTAATTGGAAAAAAAAGCAACAAGTAAAAATCAAACTTGCACATTTTAAATCTGAACAACTACATTTGGGAAAGATTATAAGTAACAAACTCTTACAATTGAAAAAAATTGTACAACTTTAAATGTAGAAGATAAGTAACAAACTCTTACAATTGAAAAAAAAATGTATGACTTTAAATGTAGAAATATCTGTATACGGCACCCTTTACCTCTATACGTGGATAAACATTAACGTATATACTCACATGGTAGTTCAAAAGCATAATAATATCAGTTACACGCAAAATGGTGTATTATTTGTCCCAAGTAAACTAATGAAAATGGGTGATACATATTTAACTCTCCTGGAGATAAATCTGTAAGTGCAGGTGTGTCTCAAACAAACATTTGGCAGGCAGAAATCTAGTTCACAGTCAAACAGGGTGATCTTCAGCACTTTATCTGGGGATAAGATTTTCCATGTAAAAAATAAAATGAAAATAATACCCATATGTGTTACTGATATCTTTGAGTGCTGAGGCAAACAGTTGAAGTGACAGGCTTGCCTAATAAAAGGCCAGCAAGACCTCTGGAAGCAGATAGCAGGATTAGTGATTGGGCTGCCTTCTCTGCATAAACTCTGTTAATCTCTGGATGGTTGATTCACCACCCAGTTTATCCATAATTCAAAACTATTTAAATTTGATTATTTAAATAACCAATGCAAAATAGAGTTTGTTTTGAGTATTTTATAATGAAATTCCTTCAATAGTCTTAAAAAAAAAAAAACACAACAAAAACTATTAATGCTCTGATCTAGGTTTGGAAGAGATACGTTGTCTCTCCTGACAGAGGAAAGCAGGGAAAGTAACATACACTTGTTACACATAAAACGCAATATTCACTAAAGAACATAAAAACGAAAAGAGAATATGCAGAGAAAGCTCCACAGTCCATTGGTTATATGGGTTAAAAAAACCTGCCTCATAATTAGATTGTTGCTCTTCACACGTCAGTTACAGTGCTGCCTCTTCTCAGGCTTTAATAAATGCAGTCTTACCCTGCTGTAACCACTAATTCAATAGTCTGTCATGTCCCATCCATTCTCTACATCTCCTTTCCATCCTACGTTTTGATCACACCACACATCAATTGCTTCTCTTTGCTCTGAAGACCCTGTATGTCTCTCCTGTGTTCATCAGAAGCGCAGCTCTCTCAGCCGTAAGATCTTCAAACTGATACTATATTAAATGTTCTCCTGAAGTCCAGAGAAATTAAATCAACAGCATTTCTCTTAACTAGATCATTTATTTTATCAAAGACATCAGATCAGTACAGCATGATCTACCTTTGGAAAAATCTATGTTCCATTTTATTGTCTGGCCTTAATTACTTCTTTCCTTTAAAATCTGTTCTAAAGCTTTGCAGGCTGTTGAGTCAGATTAATGGCCCTATTGTTGCCTGGATCAGTTTTACTGCCACTCCTGGTCCTTCTTTAATACAGGCACAATATCTGCCAGAAGAGTAACTGATAGTCTTGTAAAATGCATGATCTCTAGCAGTTCAGAGCTGCAGTGGACTGAGCGTAGCCCATTCCTCACAGACACTAAAAGAAGTTGTATACTGGGGTGTGGGTATCTAACCATCATTCTGAAAAGTAAGCTACAGTTTTTCAAAGGCTTATTTAATCAGTCAGCAGTTTGCATTCATCAAAAAAAAAAAAGTCAAATCTTTCTCCAAAGTCTTGACAGTACTAAGCTGCTCAAAGAAAATTCACTATAACTATTACCAATGTGGGCAAAATGCCCATACTCTCCAGACTCGCAGTCTTTCTTCTCATTTGAACTATTTAGCATAATCACAGAGCCTTCCATTTCTGATTTTCTGCTTTATCGATCTTCAAAACCATTTGGTGTGTTCGTTAACTCAGTGATTAATTCTCTTAGGGG